GGCAATGAATGTACAAATGTGCTTTACACAATTGATGTATGTATGGATTGTGACAAGAGTTGTATGAGCCCTTAAGAAAACAATATTTAAAAAAAAGAACAAAGAAAAACCATATTGGCTGGTGAGTACAGCCACCAAACCAAAATAAACTCACTGCCATTGAGTCGATGCTGACTAACTGACCCTATAGGACAGAGTAGCACGCTCCTGTGGGTTTCTGAGACCTGGGGGTGACACAGGGGGTTAGCCAGACACAACAGCAGTCTCCTGAGACTGCATCCAAAGCTTTCTTGTCTCTCCATTTCTTGGCAGTTTCAGATCTCAGAGGAGGCAGGCCTGAAGAAGGGTCTAAGAAGCAAGCGCAGAAATTAAACCTAGTAGTCTCAGCTCGTTTAACTGTTGTGTACTTGTCTCCATCTGAAATACAGGGTCCCTCTTCGACCTAACTTACAAGCAGGTTTTATTTTAAAAGACTCCACCACCAATCATCTGCCCTTCACTCCAACCAATCTGCTTCAGGACAGACAAGATACCTGTCGCAGCTCATAAGCTGGAAGAGTTCATTGTGACTCTCCAGTTGTTCCCACCGAGGATTCTGCAGGCCTTGAAGATCGATAGAGGAGAAAAATAGGAATGGTGGCCAGTGCTTTGCCTAGCCAGCTATGATTTCCATGCGCTTTAAACAACACCACAAAACACCACCAACAAAAAGCCACAAACCACCTCACTGCTTGTCTTGTGAGTCCAGGCCAACTCATAGGCACCATGTAGGACAGCATAGAACTGCCCCCGCGAGTTCCCGAGATTGTCACTGTTGATGGCAGTAGAAAGCCCCGTCTTTCTCCCATGGATTAGCTGGGGGTCTCCAACAGCTGGCCTTCTGGATCGCAGCCCAACACATAACCACTGGGCCACCAGGGCTCCTTAACACATGATCCTAAAAATCTCTGGGTGGTGCAAACAATCACATGCTTGACCACTAAGGACACGATTGGCAGTTTGAGTTCACCCAGGGGTACCCGGGAAGCAGAAAGATGTTGTAATCTTTGTGCACAAGTTGAACCACTCATTACCCGTGGGCACAGCTCTCGTGACAGGCAGGTGGTGGGTATAGGTTGATGTCAGCTTGAAGGCACCTGGTTTGGTGTGAACTCCACGTTGGTTATAGCACAAAGGAGGAGAGTGAGGCCCTGGGACCACAGGGTGAGCTCGAAGCTGGATGACTAGGAGGTAGCCAGGTCTGAGACCCCAGAGCCCAGAAGCCCAAAGGGATCTTCATCCAGAGGGCAATGACTGGTGTGGGAGGCAGGGTCCACCAGGTGTCACGTCCTCACCCCTTCCAGACTACACACACCTCCCTCCACCAAAGCAGGTGACTCGCTTTGACCGATACCACCAGCACTGGCAACCATTAAGTCCAGTCCAACTCAGAGCAATGCCCCATAGGGCTTTCCAGGCTCTAAGTCTTTACAAGAACAGACTGCCTCCCCTCTCTTGCAGAGCAGCTAAGGTGCTCAAACTGTCACCCTTTTAGTTAGAGACCCAACTCCTGACCCACTGTCCCCAGGGCTCCTTCCTTGGACAATAGGTTAAAAACAGTTGCCATTGACCGTGAATTGCACCACCCCTGTGTGTCAGAGTAGAACCATCCTCCACAGGGTTTGCAGTGGCCAATTTTCCAGAAGTAGATGACCAGGCCTTGCTTTCGAGGCACTGCCTGATGAACTTGAATTTCCACCCCTTAGGTTGGCAGCTCAGCTCATGCCCTGCTTGCAGCACCCAGGCACTCCTGGTGGCAGGGCAGCAAATGAGATGCCCTCAAAGACGTGAAGAGCACCTTTGTGACTGGGTGCATTCTCTGAGGCAGCTGCCACAGACCCACCCAGGACCAACCCAGGATGGCCCGCCCGCCTGCCCCAAGGGAGAGGGTGTGTGGAGCACAGCTTTGCCTACACCAGCCTGCAGACCTATAGACTCAAGAGCCCAACAAACTCTCCACTTACCTCACTGTGATTTGAGGGGTTTGTTTCGGAGCCTTATTGCAGCACAAGCGAACTGCTACAGCCTGTGCCCCAAGTACAATTGGGTCAGCCTGAGCAGGATTGGTAATAGGGGAGCTCCAATGCCACACAATGCAGCACTGAATACAAAACTCACTCCAAAAAAACCCCAAAACAAAATGCACCCCATGGTTGAGGGTCCTGACGCATGGTGGGGAAACGTCACATTTTTAAAAGATGGAGTATGAGTCAATAAGACACTCTGCTTCACACCAACAATTTATTACTTTGTTACAATCAGGCAAGAGAATCTGTTGATAGGGACATGGCAAGTGTCAAGCATGAAATTTGTTCACGTTGTCCACACTGTGGGCTGCAGAACGCTGAGGCAATTTCCAGAGGGAAACTTCGCTCAGAGGAGGCTCCCCAGTAAGCTCGGACACATGGAACTGAGGAGCTGCCCTGCTCCAGGAAGCCGGGAGAGGCCCGAGCACCAGATGGTTGGTATTTGCAAGGTTAGAAGTATATACAGAGTATCAACCTCGACTCCCGGGAATCTCTGGGCCCCGACCAGACATCGATGTGGCACTGAGTGGGAGGGACAGGGCGCTGGTGATGAAATGTGCTTTGGAAAGAGGATAATACAGCCGGCTATATTGCTATATATATAAAATAAAATCAGAAGGCTGGAGACAAAAAGAGATTCTATTACTCACAGTTTACACACAATGTCAGGATGGTAACAATACCACATGGGTTGGGGGACTTGGGTGGGGGGGTGTCACAGGTGGAAGGTTCCAAGTTTTGTCCTCACCTAGCTCGTGTCTGCTCTGGAGAGACTGGAGCTTGGGGACAGTTGACTCCATCTCTCAGTATATGACCAGGTCACACAGCAAGTGATTTAAGTGCTGACTTGGAGGCAATGCCAACACGTGAAAGAGCATGCGGCTTTCTGACCCGGGAGGCTGCTGCTGCTGCAGCTGTAAAGGGACTGGCAGGTGCTCACCTTCCCCGAGGCGCCCAGGTAGGGGCTGCTCATGTCAGCCCACAGCCAGCGGCAGGCACAGTGTCCATTCCTGCCCCTTACAACTGCCGTGTGCTTTGGTAAGGCTGTGCTCATTGCGGACCCATGGGTGCCAACCCACCTGCTGGTCACCTTGTTTATGCAAATCAGGCTGTGACTAAAATGATCCCTTACTATATAATCAATGTCCTAATATCACTTACACAAGAAGGGATCCCAGGGACTCAATCACTGTGAACCATGCATTTAACTGGATGGAATCTTCTGAAGAAACACATCACTCTACAATCGTGAGATGATATCAGGAGGCTCCACCTCTAGGAAGCTGAAAGTCTTTCTCTGTGCATCAGCCGTGCGTGTGTGCTCTTTGGTGAAGGCCTGTTCAAGTCTTCCGCCCATTTTCTGGTTGGGCCCTTTGTGTTTTTACTGCTGCACCTGGAGCATTCCTGACACTCTCCGGAGACAAGTCCTGTCAGACTGCAGTTTGCATGTTTGTTCCTGCAACTGTGGCTTCTCAATTGGGAAGCAGGGTCAGGCTGTAGTGTTTCCACTTTAAAACTCGCTCTGGAATCCCGGCATTGCCAGCAATCCGAGGGGGTACCCAGCCTCTCAGGGCTGTGGCAAAGCAAGACGGAGTTTAGTGCTGGTTGGACTCACAGGACGGCCCCCTGGAGACCAGAGGGTGGTTCCGACCAGCAAAGGAATGTTCTCTAAGAGCAAGGTCACAGGTATGGGGAAGCAACAAAACTCAGGGAAGCAGCCACACACGGAACAGAGGGCTGGGACATAATTTAAACGTATTAACTTGGTCTCCTGAAAGAAAGATCCAACAAGCACATTAACACTAGACACACACAGGTAATTAGCTTGGCGGGAAACGGCCTCTGAATTGTGCCTGACCGCGGGGAGCACCCCGGCTACCTGTCTGCTGTGCACCTGTGTGCGCTGGGCCGTGAGTGCGTGCGCCTGCGCCACCGCATTGCCCAGGGACTTCTGTCGGAGTAAGAACAGCTGTTTGTTTCACAGCTGGCTTTAACCAATAGGATATGACCCGCCCCGTGCAGCTGTACGTTTTCATTAGCATCGCGCAGTGGTGCTGGGTGGAGCGAGCTCCGTAAGAGAGGAGTGCGGCTTGCGCGCATGCCACTGCTGGGGCAGGGACAAAACCCATGTGGTGACTGTGCCCCCAAGTGACAGGCTGGGACGGCAATCGTCCCGGGAGCCCCCAGTAGTCAGCACAACATCTGAAGACCAGGGGACAACAGACGGAACTCCGGGCACCCACAGTGCCCTGGGGAATGGAACAGTGAGATAAAGCACCCGGCAGACAAGGGCGTATTGCTTTCCTCAGATTCGCCTTGCGGGGTGCTCTGTCCGGGGTGGCACCGGGCTGGCCTGTCCCCGTCCGCCGCCGCCACCGCCGGCCCCTACTTGGCGCGCTCCGGTGGCAGGCTGTCCAGCAGGCACTTGAGCTGCTCCTCGCCCAGGTGGATCTTGTCCTCCAGCTCCCGCTGCTCGATGATGAGGGCCGACTTCATCTTCACAAAGTGCTTGTGGTCCGCCAGGCTGTCCTCGCTGAGGTAGCTGGCCAGGATGTCGGACACGATGCGCTCCCGCCGGTCCAGGTTCTCCTTGAGCTCCTTGGCATCGGCATGCTGCTGGGTCAGGACCCTCTGCTTCTCCAGCAGCGACTGCTGTGGAGGCAGAGACACCCAGTCAGGCAGGCCCACCGCTCCACGGAAAGGCTCCCACAGATGCCGCCCAGCTGACTCCCGGGTCCCTAGGTCCCCCCGCGTGGAGGGCCAGAGAGAAACCCAAAGGGCTTGGCACACCAAGTCCTCAGGTGTGTGGTGTGGGCAGAGCTTGCCTTAGGGTGGCTGCAGGGGCCCACTGCAACATCTGGTCCATCCCAGTACCTGTTTGCCCCCCGGGGTTCCTGGGCACCCCACCTACAGTCTGTGGGGCCAGTACAGTCAACCCGATCAGCTGGTGACCCAAAGGTGGGTAATTCGAATCCACCCAGGGGTATCAGGAAGGAAGGCTTGGTGACAGAGGCGGGGGGTAGGATGGGAACAACCACTTTAAAGTCTGTGGAACCCAGTTCTACTCAGACAGAGGAGGCTGCCATGCAGCGAATGCAGAGCCAGCCGGCCGGCCAGCTGGCTCGCTCAGACCTCCCAAGGCTAGCAGGAACATGGCAGGGGTGGGCCCACGGCCTATGACCCTGGCTTTGACACAGGCCTGGAGAGGAGTCCATGGGCGACCCCCATGGTTGAGGCCTGCAATCCCGGCACAGTTCTACTGTGACACCCCCTCGCCCCACCCGGCTGGAGCTGGAGTCACTCGGTGACCGCTGGGTGGGGTCGCATGCTTACACGTGGGTAAAGGAAAGGTACAGAAAGGGCACTGCCCAGGAGAAGACGATAGCAGGATGACCAGGGGGCACGAAAGATGTCAAGAGGAGCCACAGCTCCTCCTGAAGACCAAGGCTGCCCTGCCGGGCAGTGGTGGTGAATCACATCCCCACATCTTACTGGGAAGCTGTTCCTTCAAGGAGGGGGTGGTCCTAGGTTGGGCACATGATATGGCTGAATTAACCACCGGAAGGTTGGTGGTTCAAACCCACCCAGGGACGCCTCCTCAGTAAACATCCTGACGGCCTGTGTCCGGAAGGTTACAGCTTTGAAAACACATGGTGTCTCCCCTTTCAGGCTCAGCCACTCACCACATGCTCCACCCAATGAGACCCGGTTTTCCAAAAGGGGGGCCTGGCGTTCTAATAGCACCTTGTAGGAGGGCAGGTTCTGTGTGAACTGGCCGGGATGCAAGGGGCCGTGGGCACAGCCCCTGGCTCCACCTCTCAGGGGCCACTTCCCCTCCCGCCCAGTGCGCCGTGAGTAAGGTTACCCGGTCGCCAGGAGCAGCATTGTCATCCAGGTTATTGAGCGCGTTCTCCACGCGTGCCAGGCGGCCTGACAGGGACAGCAGAAGGTTGACCACTTTGTCCAGGTCCCCAACGAACATGCGGAACTTGTCGAACTCATTGGGCTTGCAGACATCCTTGGCGATGGCCTCCATCTCGTCCCCGAGTGCGTTGTTGGCCTGGATGTCCTCCAGCAGGGCCTTCCGGGCCTCCCGCAGTACCTGAAGCTTGCGTCCAATGCTGCTGATGAGCTCCTGCTGTGCGCGGGCCAGAGAGATGGCAGTCAGGCTCCCCAGCATGCACGCAGGCCACCCCACGGGGAGAGCTCCCTTCTACAGCATATAAAGAAAGGACCCCTGGGCTACTCTCCCAAAGGTCGCAGGTTCAAACCCACTGGCAGCCCCGGAGGAAAAAGGTGAGGCTAGTCTGCTTCCATGAAAACCACCACAGATGTAGAAATCCTGGGGGGCGGTTCTACCGCTGACAGGGTCGCTATGCATCAGAATGGACTACAGCACTATTAAGGCGCCGGGCTTTTACGATGAGATTCACACAACTAACACAAATCCAAATAAGCAGGCAGTGATCACTGAGCCGGCTCCAAGTCCTGGGGACCCCAGTATGTGTCTGAGAAGCAGTGTGGCCCACACTGTTTCCCCTGGGCGACTTTTTGGAAACAGGCTGCCAGGCCTTCCTTCTGAAGCACCCCTGGGGAGACTTGAAGCTCTACCCAGTGGTTCTCAACCTTCCTAATACTGCAGCACTTTCATACCGCTCACCACGTGGTGGGGACACCCAACCATAACATTATTTTCCTTGCTACTTCATCACTGTCATTTTGCTACTGTGATGAATTGTAGATATCTGACAGGCAGGATGTATTTTCATTGTTACAAATTAAACATAATTAAAGCATAGTGATTTATCACAAAAGCAATACGTTATTATATCTTGTGAAATATTTATTTCTAATGACAAATAAATGAAATTTTGCCTTGAAGCATGGTGTTGCATGGGTAACAGTCTTCACACCGGGTACTCGTATGTGGGTGTATCTGCTTGTGGGTGGACCCAACTGGAGACTGACAGAGAAGCAGTGTCTCAGTTCCTACGACCATCAGAAATATGTGTTTTCTGGTGGTCTTAGGCGACCCCTGTGAAAGCGTCGGTCCGTTCAACCCCTAAAGGGGTCGCGACCCACAGGTTGAGAACTGCTGCTCTAAGCTTTTGATTAGCAACTGAGCATACTTAACCCTCAGCACCACCACCACCCTCAAAGGAGCCAGACCCAGCACTGTGGAGTCAATGCAAACTAAAAGCAACCCTACAGGACAGCCAAGAACTGCCCCCTAGGGTTTCCAGCACCGTCATGGAGGCACAGGGCCACAGCTTTCTCCCAAGGAGTGGTTAGTAGATTTGAACTGCTAATCTGTCAGTTGGCAGGTGAGTGGTTACCCAAGGACTCAGAGCCAGGTGATGATGACCCATGGTGACCCATGGCTGTCAGAGTGGAACTGGGCTCCTTGGGGCTTTCTAAGGCAGACTTTCCAGAAGTGGATCGACATACTGTCCTTCTGAGGTGGTTAGATGACCGCATTTTGAGAGAAACAAAGAGGCCACGCCTGGTTAGATCAAGCTGCAGGCATGGCCCATTAGTGGTACTGAAAGTTCACTCTGTTCCAACCCCGCAGAAACAACGTGACACCTACATGCTTCACACTGGGACAATCTGTTTGTTCAGACACAAAATCTCATGTCTGTGGCCTGTACCAAAATGCATGACCTAAGAAAAGTCTTCCACACACCAGGTGATAAAGGGCTTCTAGAGCCATAACACGAGACCTGTGGTATTTGGAAAAATAAACCTTTCATTTTTCAACAAGGATCTTCAAGGCATACTTACCAACTGAGAAATCTCACTGCTGGCCAGTGGAACCTGACCCATCGTGACGCGGTTACACAGAGCAGAAACCTCTGGGTTTCCAAGGCGCTCATCTTGATGAGCGCAAACTGCTGGGCCTTGTGTCCTGTGGAGCTATGGGGTTGGCAACCTTTCTGTCTGCAGCCAGGAGCCTCACCACGGTGCCCAGGGCTCCTGTACGTGACTGCGCAGCAATGCATGCCAGGGAGCCCAAAAGCCAGTGCTGAAGGCAGTGCACGAATTTCACCTTAACGGATGAGCCCTGGTGGCAGAATGGTTACACACTGGGCTGCGAACTGCAAGTTCTACGGTTCAAAACCTGCAGCCGCTCTGCAGTAGAAAGGCAAGGATTTCTACTCTTATAAGCTTAGGATTAGTCTGGAAGCCCACAGGGCAGCACTACTCTGTCCTATTGGGTCTTTATGGGTCAGCATTGAGTCCATGGCAGTGAGTTGTGTGAAAATGACCAGATTTTAAAGGCACGAGTGATAAAGAAGTGCCTGGGCCCCTGAACAACGAAGTGCTATCACGGATGAGGCGATGGCCACTGGCCTACCAGACATTGGAGACAGCAATGCCCCTCTTCAGTCATTGTCACTGTTTCAGTCGGCTCCTGCTGGTCAACAGGACTCACGGTGACCTCACATACAACAAACGGCACCCAGCCATGGGGCACTGAGCTGCTGTGTGGGCCATTCAGGCTGGCTTTCAGATCTGGCCCCACTTTCCTCCTACCCTGTGTGATGGGGATATCAGCTGAAAGCTGCTCAGGGTCGCCGCAGCACATAAGCTGGCGCTGGCAGTCAGGTGGTGCCTGCACAAGAGGAAGCGAACCTGGTCTCCCCCATGTGGCTCACCACGGAGAGAAAGGCCAGGGGCAGCTCTGTAGGACAGCGGGCGGGTTTTGCTCACATCACTGTCTAACAAGCACAGCCATCTTTCTGCCAGCCAACCTCCCCCACTGAGGGCAGGCGACGATGTGTTGTTCACTCAGACACGACAAGAAAAGCACCAATGGTAAGGAGAAAAGTGCTGTGGGTTAGAGCAGCGTGCCACTGCCACCAGCTCTGCGTGACATATGCTCAGCTAGACCCCCCCATCCCCCCACAGTCATTGGGTCCCCTCCGTACTGGTTCCACTGCATCATTTGGGTAGTATCCCGACACCAATCCCACTGTCATGGAATTGTTTCCAACTCACAGCAATTCTACACAGGGTTTTTGGACTGTCTATCTTTATGGGAGCAGGCAGCTTCATCTTTCTTGGGCAGAGCTGCTGCTGGATTTGAATGGTTGACCTAGAGGTTAGCAGCCTCATGCCAGACGCACAGTGCCACAGCATTCTACGTTTCTGCTGGGCTCTGAAATGTAATGGTCACAGAGAGCTCACAGACAATACTTGCTGTTATAGGGCCCTCAGGGAAGTGGCAGATTACAATTCAGGATCAGAAATGCTCAGGATACAGTTCTTCAGTTAGCCATGCGCACACACAGCTCTCTGGTCCTTAGCCTCTCCACCTTGTGTTCCTTTGGCCTTGACCCCATTTGGGCAACATGGCAAAGCTCTTTCAGCTCTATTGAAAAATGCTCCAAAGGCACTCCATGTCTATCTAGTGGTAAGCCTTACTTGGCCAGCACTCAGCTCTAGCTCCATGGGTTGGCAAACCCAGCTCTCCAAAAATACCTCCAAGCAAGTCTCCTCCCCAAGGCCCTCAAGGCCCTCAGCTTTCTCACTCGCTCAGTGGGCCTGCTTTGTCTCACCCTCTTGGCTCTCTTCCTCTGCTGCTCTCTCTTCTCTCTCTCCTGGATTGAGGAGTTCCAGTACACAGAGATCTCGGGGTCCAAAAGACTCGCTCTACTCCTTCATGGTAGTGAAATCTCAACCTCTCCTTCTGAGATGGTTCATTTTTAAATCTTGCAGGATGGTAAACTGGCCAATCCTCAAGGTAGAGTTCCATACACCCCCTTGGCACGACCCCACCACCCCACGTGGGTGCCATGTTTCTTAGTTACATTATCAGCGAGCTACTCAGGCCCGTTGGGGTGGGGCAACAGACACTTCTCTTTGCATAGGCCTACTCAGCCATTTGGTGGGAATTACAAAGACAATGGCTAGCAGGAGAGGCATGTCAGGTGATTCACTGCACCACCCTCAGAACCAAACTCAGAAAACCAAACTCACTGCCTGAGTCAACGCCGACCCAGTGACCCATAGGACAGGGTAGGACTGCCCCCCTGGGTTTCTGAGGTGTAGCTCTTGTTTTACATGGGTAAAAAGCCTCATCTGTTCCTCTCAGAGCAGCTGGAAACTTTAAACTACGGACCCTGCAGTTAGCAAGCAGTCCATACATAACCACTATGCAAGCAGGGTTCTTTTCACCCGTGGGAATAAGGCTAAAAATGAAAATATGCCCAGGAATACCGACCAATGTTGAAGTTGTTCCTTTTACTTAGATGCACAATCGGTGCCTATGGAAGCAACAGTCGAGACAAACCATAAACTGCACTGAGCACACCTGCTGCACAGGACCTCTTTTGCATGTAAAGAGCAAAGATGCAGCTGCCCTAAGCCATGGCATGTTCATCTGCCTCCTATGCATGTGCATGGTGGACAATAAGCAAGGGCGCGTGCAGAAGTCCTGCCCTGGAATGTAGGAGTTCGTGAAGAACAGCGAGTGCACCACGCCCAGCCAGGAGCCACAGACGGGCGGGCGCTCCTCAGAATCAGTCGGGCTGGGGAGACATACTCTAGACATGTGAGGGCTACGAGGCCCCGGAGCAGGAGAGGCTGCATGGTAACTTGGAGATGAGCTGGACACCGCACAGGTGCTGCATCGAGGGGCTCAGACCCAGCCATGGTGGTGAGGACGGCGCGGGACTGGCAGCACTTCCTTCTGCTGTGCCCGGGCTCCCTCTGAGCCCGGACCAACTTGACCACCACCGCGAGAAACCCCCGAGGGGTGTAACCGGTCCATGCACTCCGCTGCTAACCAAAGAATGGACATTCAAGTCCACACAGAGACCCCTTGAAAGACAGAACTGGCAGACAACTTCCAAAGGGTTAGTCGATGGAAATCTGCGTTGTTCTTCTGGCACACGCAGGCACCCAGGGCAGAGCGGACCCCAATGGTAAGTGGGTGACACAAAACAAGATGAAGGATAGTGATTAGGATTTGTACAACTCACACTGCGCTGGCCAACAGCACTGTGCTACACACAACAGACCAAATACCATAGCTACCCTTGTGCAGAATGAGCCCAGACTGAGAGAGCGTGTGGCTCAGCAGAGAGGGATACACGTACGCAGAGGGCAGGCCTGAGGTGAGAGCCTCCCTGGAGCTGCCTGGGTGTAGAAGGGGCAGATCAAAATGGAACAATGACAATTTAGCTGGCTGAGCAATAATGGTTGAGGCTTGGGCTGCCAGCTGATGTGGAGCTACCACAGCCTGCTGCCCCCCAAGCTGCATGAGGGCTGGAGCTGTGAGCTGTCCCCTCTGCTGCGTAAGGGCTGGGGCTCCCCCCTCGGGCTGTGTACTGTGAGCTGCCCCTTGGGCTGCGTGGGGCTACGTGCCCACCTTTTTCACAGCAAGGTCATGGTCCAGGTCGCTGGCTGTGTCCTCCTCGGCTTGCTGCTGCCCCTGCAGGTCCTTCATCTTGAGCAGCATCTCTGCCTTGGCGGCAGAAGTGCTGTAGTATATGGAGTTGGTGGTCAGGGACAGGGTCGTCGCTGCACCCGACTCCTCTTTCCTGGGGGACATCAGAAGGTTACTCGCTGAGATGGTCTGCCTGACCGTGCCCCTAGCACCCACCCGGGTGTGGCAAGTATGTAGCAGCAATAATGCGAGGACACCAGTCAGGGGGACAGATGCTGACAGGGAGGGGCAAGGTTACAATGACTTCCAAAGGTCGTGCCAAATAGATCAAGCTTGAGGAGTCGCTGGAAGACAAAACAGTTGCATGTCCAACTACTAACTGAGAGATTCACAGTTCAAACCCACCCGGAGCCAGAGCCAGGGAAAGGTGTGTGTGGCCAACAGCTCCTGTTCCCTACTTCTTGGGTCAGTGCAGTCCTATTCTCTTTGTTCTGTGCCAATGACTGCACAGTGACCCCCCCCACCCCCACCCCCTGCCCAACCAGGAAAGGAGAGTTTGTGTCTTTGTCATCTCACTGCTGGCTGAGCAATGCAGCAAAGGGCTATCCCGCAAACTAAGAGAAACCAATTCAGCCACCTCTGTGTGAATAAAAAGTAAACAACCTACTGAACACACTCCCAAGCTGGCCCTGGTGCAAGTCTGATCTGCTTGACACCAGCCGAACGAACGGCCATCTGAGCCCACCCTCAGGTGCCTCAGAAGAAAGGCCTGGCCACCCATTCATGACAGGGAACGCCCCTGGACCCACGCTTGCATCTGTAAGTGCAGAATCACCATGCATGGGCATGCACTCTCGACAGCAACCGGCAGCCGTGCAGCTCGAGCCTGTGTGGGCTGCCCTGGGCAGGGAGCAGAGGGTGTCACCTGGGGGCGCACAGCATCTCTGCGTGGGCCCCCACCCTAGTCCTGACAGCTGGAAATGACTGCAGGTCTTGGCAGAGGCCCCCCCACTTGACCGCTGGCTTATGAAGGGAGACCTCGGCAGTGTTCTAAAGGAAACACCCCACGCTGACAACGCTGGTTACTAGGTCCTTTCTCATCTCTCCCAGGCCCTGGAGTAATGGCCCTCCCCCCAACCAGGTGACACCCTCTGCTCCATGTCTGAAAGCATCACAGCGTGACAAGCTGGGGCGACCCTGAAGCCCTCCTGGACACCCTACCCCAAAGGCCATGCTGGAAGCAGGTGACCGTCACCCCGCCTCTTCCCAACTCCCCCCCACCACATACACGCACACACACACTCCTGTGTCCTGACAGACAGACAGCAAGCAAGAAGGCAGTGGCCCAAGGCCAGCTGGGGGTGGGGTTGGGGCGTGGTGCTCACTTGTCCTCCTCCAGGGTCCGAGGGGAGGGTGCTTTGGGGTGCAGCTTTCTCCGCTGCTGGGCCTCTTCCAGGAGAAGCTCAGCCTTGGGGAAGATGCCCCCCATCAGGTCCATGGTGGTCTTCATCTTCACGCTGGGGTCCAGGACGTCAGCCAGGGAGCGGTCCTTGCCGACGATCTCGCGGGCCAGCTCCTCGGATTTGAGGTCCTCCTCCGTCTTCTCTCGGCCCTTCCCATAGCCCAGCCCTGCAGGCGAGGCACGGCTCTCGGGGGCGGGGGGCTGGCTGCGAGAGGGCTCCCCAGGCTCCGCACCCTGCCGTGTGTACACGCAGAAGCGGGAGTACGAGTTGCCCCCCGAGCTCAGCGTCTTGATCTGGTCGCGCCCCAGCCCGGTGGGTAGGGCGGGCGGCTCAGTGGGTCGTGCCAGGCCCTGGCGGCTCTCCTTTTCGGGCTGGCTCTCCGAGTGCACGATCTTGATGGGCACCATCTTCACCGTCGTGTTATTGTCCATCACCCGCTCGATCCTGCAGCGAGAGTTCCAGTAGAAGGCACTGCGGGTCTGCCCTCCCTCCCTGCCAGGGGTTGCTAACTTCAAGCGCCCTCACGCCCAACCCCTGGCCCTGCAGCTGCAGCCAGGAGCGCATCCTGGAGGGCCAGGATGCCCCTGCCCCTTAGCTTTGATCCCTGGTCCTCAGCGGCCGGGGCCTCTGGGCCGCCCGTTTTCAGCTCAAGGACACGACTTATAAAGCCACTACATTGGCTTCAGTAGGGACAGCTGTGCTTAGTGGGTCGTGTTGTAGAGTTCCGGAGTGCCGGGGCTGGCATGCCAGTCCTGGGCACATCCTCAGGGGCACCACGGCTGCGTGCTTCTACAAACCTGGATGCACTCTCACTGGGCACCGCCCAGCCCCCCTCGGATTTCTTCTCACAGGTGCCTGTGTACCTGTACCTAACCTGCAGTGCACCACCCACCTCCCCACCCCATTTCGCTACACTCAACCCACGCTTCCAGGACCCCTGTCCTGCATTCCAGCCTCCCTACACTTTACCCCTTTTCCCAGGGCTGCTGCCCTGCCTCCAGTTCCTGCCCTACCTCCTTACAGTCCACCCATTTTTCCATGGTCCCCTGAGCCCCAGCTTGCTACACTCTACCCCTTGGCCCAGGACCCCCTCCCAACACTCTACCCTTTCTACCACAGGCCCCTGCCTCGCCTTCCAGGGTGGCCCCCCACCACCTTCAAGGTCCCACACAGACTTCTTAACACTCCGCTCCCTCTCCCAGATGCCATCGCTACAGGCCTACACTCCACCCCTACTCCCAGGCCCCCCACCAGCCTCCCTGTGGCCAGGATCCACTCACTGCCCGCATTACACAGCATGTTGCACCAGTGCAGTAAGACTCTGCCACAAACGGTGCACACTGGCTTTGTGGCCAGGAGCAACTTGTCCTTCCTTTCGTAAAGTCCAGTGGTGCTTCCCTGCATTTCCCCGAGGCCAGGAAGGCCCGCTCCTAGGGGTGGTGGTGGTCGGAGTGCTCACCGCCCAGCAGAGGCTACAGTGAGAGTTCTGTGCATTCCCCCGACTCCTGAAGAAGTCCTGGTGCCACAGTGGTTAAGCATCCACTGCCATCCGCAAGGCGGGCACTCTGCACCTACCAGTGACCCAGAGCAGCTGGTGGCCTGAGCCACGCGCTGACCCTTCTTTTAGCAGCCAAGCGCTTAGCTCCTGTGCCACTAGTGCGGCTCTTCCAGAGCTGCTGCCCGTTGGACACCTCCAGGGTGTCCTTAATGGTCACTACTAGTTGGAGACAATTGGATGGCAACAAGCAGGGCTTTGGTTCGGGTTCCCATCCTCCAGCAACAACCAGTAAAAGAGCCAATGTCTTTATTTTATCTAGTTTTTCACAGACGTCTCAACACTGTCCTAACTTGGGAAAACAAGGAGGGCTTAAACCAAGAACCAAACCCACTGCCATCAAGTCCGTTCCAACTCGGACAGACAGGGAAGAACTGCCCCGTGAGTCTCCAGGGTGTAACTCTTTACGGATGCACAAAGCCTTATCTTTTTCTCTCGGAGCAGCTGGTGGTTTTGAACTGCTGACCTTTCGGTTAGCATACCCACACGTAACCCACGTTGCCACCAGGGCTTACTGGAGACATGTGCAAACCTAAGACAATTGTGGTGCTGGAGGAGAATACGGAAGATTGAAACTACCAGGGATTGATAAAAGGATGAACTGATGTGTCTGGGGAGAAATATGGCCAGAGTGCTCCTTGCAGGCAGGGATGACGAGGCTTCCTCTCGTGTACTTCGGGCATGTCGTCGGGAGAGACCCGCCCCTAGAGAAGGACACCGTGTTTGGTAAAGTGAAGGGGCAGTGAAGGAGAGGAAGGCCTCGATGAGATGGACGGACCCCATAGCTGCACCCCTGGGCTCAGACACAAGCACCATTGTCGAGGTGGTGTGGGGCCGGGCAGTTTTCTGTTCTGTTAAGCACGGGGCTGCTCGGGGTCAGGACTGACGGGATGACACCTGGCAACATGGATGGAGCTGCCTCAAAGACGACACATCAAGGCCTGCTCCCGAACCCTGCATGGAAAGAAGGGCTTCCTCTGTTATGATCAGGAGGCCTGCAGGGGTGGGGTGGGCCCTGAACCTCAGTGCTGAGTGCTATCTAATAAAAAGGGAACACAGCAAGACAGGGAGGGACCCCAGGACAATGAAGCTGCAAGCCCCAGAAGGCCAGGTGCAGCTGCCAGGTGCTCGTGAATAGCTGCTGGATTCACACAGCCAGGCCCAGCACCGCCCCCACCACCACCACTGTGTGACACACTCCATCACTATCCTTCAGAGCTACCCACTTGTCACCATCATGACAGTCCCTCCTGGCCAGAGCCGCCCACTTGTCACCAACATGATAGTCCCTCCTGGCTCCCCGAGACACTGCAGTTGGCTCCAGACTACTACAGCCCAGCTAACATCACCACACAGCTGCTCCCCCTGTTCTGGCTCCCCGTCCTTATTCATGGGGCCACCTTCCAAACAAGCCTGAGGTCCACCCTTCAGAATGGCCATGGAGGGTCCCAGGAAGCCCCCGGGGTGGAGGGGGCCTTCTTCAAAACCAAGCTCCAAGAACCCAGAGGTGTGGGGTTCCTGGCCCGGGGCTTTACCTGGTGGCGCTCTCATCCTGGATGAGCAGTGGGGGCTTGTCGGTCAGCTTCTGGGGCGCAAACTGAGGGGATGGGGAGCGCGAGGTCTCCATGGTGGCTGCTGGTGGCTGCCAGGCCTGCTCAGCATTCATTCGTGGGCGGTCATGCTCACAGGGTGCAGCCGGTGGGGCACAGTGGGGCCGGGAGAGGGTGGGAGGGCTCTGGAAGAGGGGCAGCCGGTCCACGTCCAGGGCCACGGGGTTGGGTGGCAGTGCCTCGGCTGCAGGCACAGCCCCCTCCGCGGTGTCCCCCGTGGTGTCTTGCCCCTTAGACCTCCGGGGCTCGTGCTTGGGTGGTGGGGACTGCAGTGGGGCCAGCCGCTTCGTGACAGAGGAAGCACTCGACAGCCTGGTGTCCCTTTCTCTGTCAGGCAGGGATGAGGGAACGCTGGGGGCAGGGGGTCCCAAGTTTCGGGGTGGTGGGTGCAGGTCAGCTGGGCTTTCCACTTCCACTGGGTAGCGATAGTCGCGGGGCAGTGTCCCGGCTCGGCACCGGCCTTTCTCGGGGGCGTCCAGTGGGGGAGCTCTGGCTGCAGCTGGTGGAGACTGGTCCTTTGCACACGGATGTGGCAGCTCCACGCTTGTTGAGGGACTATTTTCCTGATGCTGTGTGCTGGCCACTCTGCAAGAGAGAAGGCACCATTAGCTAATGACTCCCACCTCAGCTCTCCTGAGGACACGGGACCCCACACCCATGTAGGGAGCCGCTGCCCTGGGGTCAGCTCGGACATCCAGCCCGCCACGTGTGCAAGGTGCGGCTGTGCTCCCTGGGGCTTTCAAGGTGCGTGTTCTCAGAACTAGATCACCCGCCTGACTTTTGAGACACCGCCACCGATGGATTCTAACCCCCAAATGTGTATGTGGCCGACCACCCCCTACCCTGGGGGAAAACAAATTACTCAGTGGCCCCTGGCACTAAAAGCTTTTGTACTATAGGCCCCCATCCAGGAAAAACCGTAGGCACCTACTTTTGGAGCCCCCTCTCCCCAGCACTGCCCTCCAGGGGTGTTATCATCGACAAACACTCTGGGAAACACTGCATCTGGTCTTTCGATTAGAAGTGTTTGTACCAATGCGCTTCACGCAATGGATGTATGTATGGATTGTGATAGGAGTCATATGAGCCCCTAAGAAAACGACTAAAAAAATGAAAAAAAAAAGAAGTGTTGGTACCACCCAAGGACCCCAGGCACAGGCAGGTGGCTTAAATCCCACCCCACTTAACCACTGTAAGTCACCCACACCCTGAACATTTGCACCGCTGCCCAGGCACTTCCCTGTCGAAGGTAACAGGTATTCAAGTGCACTTGAGGCAACACTGAGCTGCATGCTGGCAAAGGAATCAAGGTTCACACATGCCAACTGCATGTTCTGGTTAAAGGAAGAACAAACAAACCAAACCCACTGCCGTTGAGTCAGTGCTGCCTCACAGCGACCCCCGGGGGTTTCCAAGACAGTAACTTGACTGGAGTAGAAAGCCCGGTCTTTCTCCCGAGGAGCGGCTGGGGATTTTGAACTGCTGGCCCTTCGGATGGATTGTAGCTAACAATTTTAGGCCCTAATGTTTGTGCACATTGTCCCTTGCTGCTACGCTCCAAGCCACTTCCTTCTAGGAGTGCTGATGCCTTCATGTGACTCCTGAGAGACTGTCCCAGGCTTTCTCAAGGCTGCAGGTCAGGACAGGAGTCAAACCAGTAGAGTGTGACCATCATGCTTGGGGAAGCAGAGGGGCAGTGACGAAGAGGAGGCCTTCCACAAATGGATGGGCGCAGTGGCTGTGAGGATAGGCTCACACAGAGGAACCATGGTGAGGACAGAGCAGGACCAGGCAGGGATTTTTTTCTCTGATGTGCACAGGGTCACTATGGGTTGGAATGAACCCGATGGCCCCTAACAACAAAGGCCCCTTCTTTGGGGAGCTGACCACTGGACCATAAGACTGGGTGAGCGTGTGTGCATGTGTGCGCACGCATGCCCATGTGTACCTGTGTATCGGCACACACACACCACACCAAGATGACCACGCACCGACAGGCAGGCCAGCAGGCCCATTTGAGCTAAAGGACCTGGGCCAATACCTGTCACATTTGTCATACCTGGCTGGAATTCACTGAGACACCTTTGCAGAGACACCTGCTACTTCCCAGCTCGTAGGGGCCAGATGGGACACATCCCCCCTTCAGGGTGAGAGTTCCCTGGTTGATTGATGCCTCAGTCCTTAGAGACCAGGTGGTAGAGACCAAGGGCCAGGGAGAGGGAGCCTGTTTGCTATCAGTAGCCTTGTTCAGGTGTTTTCATCAGGTGCTTGGCGCCAGAGCCTCTCAGGGACAGAGGCCCCCATCAGTGAAGGCCGCAGTAAGGACTGAGCAGGACCGTCCATCTTTCCACTGGAAACCTTCAGGGGAAACTGCTGACTGCAACAACGGCTTCACATGCCTGCTGCTGTGGACAGGAGACTGGGCCTTTCCATGACACCCTCGGCTCAGTGTCCAGCCAAGCAATACGTTCCCAGGGGCTCACTGAGGCGAGGTACCTGCTCCCCTGAGATGGGAGTGGCTGTGTGGCTGTGCAGTGTGTGTGCCGAGGGCAATGGCGTGCATGGCCAATGACCACGATCCAAGTATGAGTCGGTGTGTGTGAGTGGCATGTGTGCGCCTGCAGTGTACATGTGCAGTTGTTGTCTGCTGGATGTGTGTACCTATGTACATGTGCACATGTGTAACTGCGTTAGTGTGCACCTTGTGTATATGTACAGGTGCCTGTGTGTGCAATATGGATAGATGCATGGACTCCCCCGTGCAGCTTCGTCTGGGCTGGACGTATCTGTTATATACAAAGCTGTGTCTGCATGTACCTGCCATGTACACATGTAGCTGTGTGTGTGGTGTATGTGTGCAGATGCGTGTTGTCTGTGTGTGGATGAACCCGGGCGCCTGTTTTGTACTTTTAGGGATAACAGACAGAAGAGATGGGAGTTCTTCACACTACCAATCCAGTCACACTGGACATGCACTAGGGAACCTCACCCATTCTCACAGAGCGCCCTCCACGCAGGCCTTCTAAGTCCGCCTGCCTTAAATCTGCAAATAAATCTGATCCCTCCTCGCTCCCTGATGTATCAGTGTTCTGATGTGCTTCCCGAAGGGAAACCAGGAGGACAGATAGAGGAGTGTAACAGTGGCCCAGGAGAGAAAGGAGTGGCAGGCAATGGTGAGACACGGGAAGGGGCCGACCCTCCCTCAGTGAGCAGGGTCCCCGGGCTGTGTCTCAGGTGTGGCCATGGGTTTCTTCTCAAGCACAGCAGAAAGGCAGCAGATGAGCCGGGTGGGGGGTGTCAGAGTTGGTTTACTTCTTCAGCGGGACAGTTCATTATTTTACCAACTTAACATCGGTAGGGTGCAAGCCTGAAGAAGGAGTCCGGTCCTACCCCCTCAAACAAGGGCGTGGGAGCCCCACACACTTACACCCTGACCTGCCGGCTCATCAGACAGCCGACCCTCATCCTCACTGCGATCCTCCACCCCCCCCCCCACCAAAACAGTTGTTGAAGAATTCATCTAACTCAGGGAAACCCCAGGTGTCACGGCTGGTTTTTTCCAAGTTCATATTTTTTCATTGTGGTTTGGGTGAAAGCTTAGAGAGTCAAGTTTAGCTTTCCACCTGACAGGTGACACCAATTGTGTTCCGTTATATCAGTTGCAGTCTGTAGAAGCAGCGGCACTCTGCCAGGCTCCCACCGGTTCCCCTCTCCCTCTGTTCTCCCGTCCTGAGTCTGGTTTCTGGTCTCGTCGGATGGTGTGTTCCAGGGAGCATGCTCTACCGTGAGGGAGAGCATGGCACCCAGTCTGTCATCTGGAGGAAAGGTGACCCTGGGTGGCTTCTCTGTCAGGTTTGCAGAGTGTCTAAGGACCAGTCTCAGTGGTCCCACCACAGGCTGGGAAGTTGTAGCACCACATTCATATAAACCCGAACTTTAAATACACAGGTCAAAATGACAAGGTTGGGTCCACTTATGGGACTTTGGAGGAGCCCTGGTGGGCAGTGGTTTCCATTGGACTGTGACCCACATGGTCAGCAGTTCGAAAGCACCAGCAGCTCTGAGGAAGAAAGATCGGGCTTTCTACTCCTGTCAACAGTTACAGCCTCAGACACCCCCAGGTGCTCACTAGGAGTCAGCACTGAGTGAATTTATGGGACTTTGGAGACACGTAGTTACCATTTATGTATGGGGCATTCTGGGAAGCCTTGCTGTGAAGCACATTAAAATCTAGTTAGAACAGGGCATGTTGTGGCCATTAGTCATGAGAAAGTCATGAGGTTCTGCAGTTTCCCTCCATCACAAATGCACCCAGGCCCCAAATCCCGAAAGTGTTGCCTGAGATGGCCCATGTTCAGCGATGGAGCACCCCCCATCAGACTGCAACCATCCCCCAAACACAACAAGCTGGCTCAGATCCAGCGCGTGACAACCTCAATTGTACAGACTAGGTGCCCGTGTATCAGTGCTCAACATCGCCTGCAATTCCCAGTTCTTCTACCTGTCACGGCCTTCCAATGGGGTCGCTGGCACTGCTTCCTGTCTTAAATAAAACCAATGTTAGTCAATTTATACCCCAGAGAACCTCATTTGCTAGCAAGTGGCTTCTTAATCTTCATTGCTGAAGACCTAAGTGGGCTGAACTTTCAAGACATGGTCCACCCCTCCTGCCCCCACCCCACCCCTTCCCCAAAATCACATCAATAAAGGCCAGTGGGCAGGACATGGAGCCCGATGACAAAAGTTAACTGCATCTGTACAGGGGTACCCCAAAGTGTGTGTGTGTGTGTGTGTGTGTGTGTGTGTGTGTGTGTGTGATGGCCATGTCTGTGTTTCCTTCCCATGCAGGCTGACAGCACACCACGCACAAGACCTCAGCACAGCCGAGGAGGCCTGGGTCCAGGGTTTTAGGAGAAACTCATGCTCCTGCCTTCTTTGGGGAAGAATCACAACTTTTCTGGAGGTCAGGGAAACAATATAGCTACTGCTGTGTTGTTGTTATTGTTTGTTTTTACTGCTGCGTTTTTAACAAAAATGTGGCAAGCATGCCGCCCACTCTGACAAGTGTCACTCACACCTGAGACTTGAGGGACAGGGGTCTGGAAGGCTAGGTGGCCTTGGAACCATACCAAGGTTCCAGATGTCACAAGGTTTCCATCCTGCACTCCCCAATACTCGCTACCCTCCCCGCACCCACCAGCCTACTGTCACTGTCAGACCACAGATGTGACTGTACAAGATGGTCACTGTGGCCTCTGGTACCAAGTCAGGTCCTCCACCATGCTGAACTTTCAGACTTTTGGGGTCAAGGCTTGTATGGGATAGATCATTAGCTTACGTGCAGAGCTGCTAACCAAGAGTTTGGTGGTTTGAGCCCGGAAGAGGTTCCAGGATGTGGCAGCCTGTAGCATGGGGATGTATCGCCTCAGAAACCCTAGGGAGCGGTTCCACTCTGTCCTGTGGGGCCACATAAAGCCAGAATGGACTCGGTGGTGGTGGAGGTGGGTTTTCAATCACTTTGCTGGAATGCCAAATGAGCCCCATGGCCCTGGATAAGGCCCAACATATGCCTGCGGAAAGGCTTT